TGCAGTAGTTCTCCTTGCAATCACCGTTGCTGATGCTGTGCTTGAAATTAACAGTCTGAAAAGAAAGAAAATTGCTTTAATCAAATGTTAAACACACCAAACCAATAAAATTAAATAATTTGTTTACCGCTCAGAGCAATTTCATCCGCAATATTATTTTCTGAAAAATAACAGTTGAAACGAGTTTTTAAACGTGATTATCACATTATCTAATTAGCGCACACTATTATGTTTATTTTTAGTAGAATATAATTGTATTATCTCAGACTTTTTTCAATGTTTTCTAATATTCGTGCATGCAAAAGCAACCATGCGCTCAATTTCTTGTGGGGAAATTTGGTCCCTACGTGTTTCACCACGAAACACCACGAAACAGCTACAAAAACAAAAACCTTTTCTACTGGTAAAGTGTGCCTATAACCTCCGCCCCCCAGGGCGGCCTATTGCTTAGTGATGGAGAACTATCGATGGGGCGATCGATAGTATCAATGGTTTCATTTTGCCGCCACTATCGAATTTTTCTAAACACTATCGATTGTTGTATGTTGTTCACATTTATGGAAGTTGGACTATAAAAGATGGCACATGCCTACATATGTATTAGCGTGGATCGAAAAACCGCTTATTTTGGAAGTTTGATTGGTAATAGCAAAAATATAGTTCATTATGCTCTAAAAACAAGCTGTGTGAAAGATGAAAATGTTTGGTCCATATCTTAGGCTCGCTCACGTCCATCAAATTTCAGGTGCTTACTTCGATTCTCCACAAAAACGGCCCATTTACCAAATTATGTAGGACGAATACTTTCGAAGAAACTTGCAATTTTAATAAAAACAGTATTAATTAATGTATTTATTAATTTTAATGTTTTGAGCACATTGAACTTTGAGGCACGGTGCACATTAGAGCGATACGATATGCGATGCGATATGCGATACGATACGCGATGCGATATGAAATGTGCGCAGTGCACACTAGAGCGATGCGATATGCGATGCGACACGCGATACCAATTGCGGCATGATAGCAACACAAACGCCTTTCAGTTAATACCATGAGTTCATCCGATGAAGACATTGCTATAGCATATTGGTGGCTACAGCAAAGAAAAAAAGAGCTAATAATAGGAAAACGTACTGGGTGCACCCGTTTAATGTGAGGAACATAAAGTACTGTTCGGGAATTATTGCGTATGGTGTTATTGCAAGCACCCACCCATCATAGAATAATACCATGTGCAGTAATATTAGAGTGAGGAGATTTTGACACTGCCTTATTTGAAAAATTGCCTTTAAAATTTGACAATAAGGCAGCCGAATGTCAGAAAATAAAGCGAGAAAGATGTTTTGTTACTTCACCAGTTTATTGCGCCATGGTTCCGCAAACATTTAAAGGTTTTCCAGCTTAAAAAGCATGCAGATAAAATTAATACAAAAGCGTTATGTTCAATTAGCCGAGCAGTTATTTAAGACGACGTTTCCCCTATATTTTGTTATACTTTTCATAAGTAAAAATATTTTGTGAATATTACTCTCTTCATATGGGTTATATCACATATAATAAACAAAGTTATTTTTCTATCTGTCATTAAACTGTTTTTGTTACAAATAGTATAAATAGGCAATGGGAATTAGGCAAAATTTGTTATTGGTATTAATTCCTATTTAAAAGTGAAATAAAGCAAATTTTGCGTTATTGACGTTTGTGATATTTCACCTACCTGAAAAATGACGTTACTTACCAGGTATTTTTACTCCGTTATTTTTTGTAGCATTGTGTATTAGACAAATTTGTACTTTCTTTCTTTAATTTAAAAACTCATTAAATATAATAAAATAGCACCCAAGAAAAAAGCATATAAAAATACAACGAATAATCATAAATAATTACATACATACAGAATTTTTTAGTATTTGTTATTATTTCTGATTTCTTCTTTTATGGTAAATGAGATGATTTCTTAATTGTTTCTTAATACATTGATTACCGATTATTTAAATATTTGAAACAAAATAGTTAGTCTTTAACAGTAAAACAAACACCAAATCTTTTTTGCTATTCAAAATAAAAAATAAATATGTTTAAAATTATTGGTTTCTTTTAATTTCTTTTTAAAGATGTGGAAACAAAGGCAAATAAACCATCTCAAAAAATATTCTATTGTGTACTTACCTGCGTCCTTGACCTCAGAAGCTAAAATTCTTCATGCCAAACTAGTCATGTCTGTTCTACAGTAGTCTTTTTCTGTATAGTTCCACAAGCATGGGGTTTTGTTAATTAATTCGACAAAAAAAATTGAGGAAGATGCTTCCTCCTGTGAAACGGCCATGCTTATTGCAACAAATACCGCGCAATACTAATCTCACCTCGTTCAGCAAACCGTGTCGCATATGCGATACGCATGCAATATTATATCGCAGCGGTGTCGCTGTCATGCAAGTGTGCACAGTTTTTTTTTATCGCTTCCTACCAATTTCCACG